CTTTTGCCTTCAATGGCAGATACTGCAAAGTACATGCCTATCAATGGAGGAACAAGTCTCGTTACAGACTTCAAGAGTCTGTTTTCAATCATCAAAACAAGGAGGACAGTGGCTTTCTTCATGTTTGCCTTCGTTGGTTTCACTGTGTTTTTAGCGTTTAGCCCTTCTTCATACTCGTCTGCTCCTTGGTTCACTAACGTCTTTTCAACAAGCTCCACCACTTCTGCTACTGCATCTGCCGATTCTTATAGATCTCAATTCTCTTCCCTTTTCGATTACTTCTTTTCCAACACTTCTTCTCCGCAACAACAACAAGGCCTTAACTTCCCTTCTTATTCTAATAATACCAGATCTAATAACACTTTACCTCAATTAGCCAACCCAAGAGAGGAGCTACCTTTTGACAACAACACCACCAAAACCCAATCTTTGAACACAAATAAAGAAGTAGCCAGTTCTAAAAACACCACTTTCCAATCTCCCAAAACAAATAAAAACAACACCCAAAGTTTGGTTTTGCATGCAAATCAGACCACACTTTCTCCTTCCACTGTGTATAAAAATCCACCTAGTACGAGCAGCCAGACTGAAAAGAAAGAGAATTCTGATAAAGCTCTAGTTTTGAAGGCTAATCAGACTACAATTGTCACTGAAAAATCTCCGGTGGCAGCTAATCAGATCACAAATTCTCCAGCCAAATCTGATCCTGTCAACAAGGTTAGTTCTGGGAAGGGAGAGAAAAGTGTAGCACAAAAAGGAGTGGTATCAAACTACACAGCTTCCCCGACGAAGAAACAGGGGAATGGGAAAAACCAGGGCAATGGAAGTGGTTCAGGGCTGCCAGCTAAACAGGGGATTGAGAATTTGATTGAGTCGTTGATGAATTGTGATTTGTTTGATGGCGAATGGGTGAAGGATAATTCCTATCCCCTTTATAAACCAGGATCTTGTTCGTTTATTGATGAGCAGTTTAGTTGTGTTCCCAATGGAAGACCTGATAGAGATTATCAGAAATTGAAATGGAAGCCTAAAGGTTGCACTTTGCCAAGGTAGTAATTTTTTTTTTTATAGTTTTGATCAATTCTTTTCACTGATTTATCAACCAAGTAATATCTTGAGCTCTTTAATCGGTTTAATTTTGAGTAGGTTTTTCTTTATTGGAAAAGCAAACTGATTTAGCCGTTTTGGATTTATGTTGATCTTTGAATTAGTCATCTAGAGAATTTATCAAATTTTATTCGTGATCAACACTGTTGAGTACTTGAATGTATTTTCATTCATAGATTTTACTATGGTGCTGTCTTATGCTTCAAGTAATAAATTACCTGGAAATGGATTTTCTTTTCTTTTATCATTAAGCTAAGATTAATTAATGTGAATATTTTGTTAGATTGAATGGCGGTCACATGTTGGAGCTATTGAGGGGAAAGCGGCTTGTTTTTATCGGCGACTCTTTGAATAGGAATATGTGGGAATCTCTGGTTTGCATCCTGAGAGGTGCTGCAAAAAATCCAAAAAATGTTTATGAAGCCCATGGAAGACATTATTTTCGAGGGGAAGTTTCATACTCTTTCATATTCAAAGTAGGTTATTCGTGATAATTAAAATTTTACTAATCTTTGTTACTTACTGTAGGATATTTACTTTAATTTTACGGCAACTTATTTGTTTACGTTTTGGGGCTGGCTCGGTTGATGATGAATAGGATTATAACTGCACTTTAGAGTTCTTCGTATCTCCTTTCTTGGTCCGAGAGTGGGAAATGCCAGACAAAAATGGAACGAAGAAGGAGACACTTCGGCTTGATCTTGTTGGAAAATCATCTGATCAATATAAATCGGCAGATATCCTCATCTTCAACACGGGGCATTGGTGGACTCATGAGAAAACTTCCAAAGGGTTTGTTGATAATATTTCCATACAACGTTTTTACATATAATGTCTCTTACTGTAATCTATTGATTTTAATGATTATTTTCCGTGTTCAACTACGGAAAACTACAGGAAAGATTATTACCAAGAAGGCAGTCATGTTTACAACGAATTGAATGTTCTTGAGGCCTTTCGGAAAGCATTGACAACATGGGCTAGATGGGTTGATGCCAGTGTAAATCCTATGAAGTCTATGGTGTTCTTCAGAGGATATTCTGCTTCGCATTTCAGGTAAAGGAAAATAATTTTGATATATTATTTTGAATGCATATGGCTGCTTTTTCCTTCTATCATCTTTTTCCCTAACAACCTGCAGCCACGTTCGAAATAAATTCTTGTATTTCCTTGAGAATTATGGAGGCACTGCATGTAATTGTAACCTTGTTTTTCTTGGAATTGTGTGCTGGTGAAACTAGGGTATACCATTTCTAAATGTTTTATTGGTGCTTGAATCTTTCTCCAGCGGCGGCCAGTGGAATTCTGGAGGAGCATGTGATAGTGAAACTGAGCCGATCAGGAATGAGACGTATCTAACGCCATATCCATCAAAGATGTTGGTCTTAGAGTCAGTGCTGAAGGGGATGAAAACACATGTCACCTACCTTAATATTACCAGATTGACTGATTTCCGAAAGGATGGTCACCCATCAATCTACCGGAAGCACCAGAAGCAACAAATGTCAGAAGAGGAAAGAATAGCACCTCTAAAATATCAGGACTGCAGCCATTGGTGCCTTCCTGGTGTGCCGGATTCGTGGAATGAGCTTCTGTATGCTGAGCTCCTTGTAAAAGAAAATAAGATGCGGCAACATCAAAGGAGAGCTAGGTAAAAATAAAATCATACAAACTTAGATTTGTCTGAGTTGAAGCAAGTACAGGCGGTACATTGTAGAAACAAACAAACAAAATGAAGGAAAAAAAAAAAGATCAAACAGAGAGTGTTTTCTATTTTTTTCTGCGCCTCCTTATAAAATTGTGGGAGTAGGATAATAGTAGAAAAATGAAGCTGATGAGTATTGTTGGGGAGATCAATCTGTGCTGTAGTAATTTTCTTTTGTTTATATGATAGAAAGTAGAGATAGGATGGTTTCGGTTTAGCTGGTAAGATTTGGATAATGGGAAATCTTGTCCTTCCCTTACCACCCCAAGATTTTTCTACCCTCAAAGTTGCTTTGAGGATTGTAAATCTCCATATTATTTTATTTAAAAATAAAACCAAGTGGGTTGCTTCTCTTTGCATATACCATCCTTGCATATTTCTCTCTTATCCATTCCTTTTTCTCAGTATTCTGTTCAACAAACTGATCACAAGCATGAAATTAACCTTTGATGGTCATGGTATTGTTTGATTTATACATTGATAAATGCCAAATTGCCTCTTGTGGAAAGCTTGGGTCACTTTGTGGTTGGGTTTACAAAGGACCGACCATTTGCGGCCTTTTGATAAACCAAATACTAAATATAAAATTGTAGATGTAATAAGAGTGTGGTCTTTTCCTGGGATCTGTCACATGGCATGTCTTGCCTAATTCGTCTACATATAAAAAAATCAGAATCTGTATATTTGATGTTGTGTGTAAGCAAACCGCCAAGTCACCATCGTCAGATAAGAGCTAACCTTGTCTTTTATCAAATGCCTTTTTCCCACTTCATAATCAGTCGTTTTCTTTGTCAATTTATAGAATCTTTTCTTCGGGTTCCTCGTAATAGTGTCTAGTGTCGGTAACTGCAAGCTAAACCTAATGCTCTTTTAAGTCTTATCTCTTTTATATTCAAATTGCATCTAAATATGAGGCTTCGTAATAGGTATATTTATATATTTTCTTCCTTAACGAATTTTGTTTGAATTTCTCTTTTTTAAAAAACTTAAAAAGAAATTGAAATTTAAAATTTTAAAAAAGATTTCTGCCGTTTCTCGAATAGCATAAAATTTGTTTGAAGCTGCATCTTTATCTCTTTTTCTATTTCGAAATTAACGTTTAAATTTTCCACCACTCAAGCTGATCTTAATATTTCAAGAAAGAATAATAATAATAATAAACTATCTTAATTTAGTTCGAAGTTGCATATCTCTGTCCTTCATCCAATAATTGCTTCGGCCTAAACTCCCTTAATCTGACCTATGGGGCTCTGGCCCATTTATTTTAATCTTGAGATACCTAGGCTTAGCCTTTTCTTGTTCAAAAGAGTACAGGAGAGCAAGTGGCCTATCCGGTGAAATCTTTTGCATAATGTACTCGAACCCCACATTCCCAAGGATCCCTTTCTTACTCCTTTTTTTTTTTTGTTCCTTTTAATTTGTATTTTATACTTTTTTTGTTTAGAGAAGGAAGACAATTCTTTCTTTTAATTGATTTATAGTTTGTTTGAGCTGGAAAAAGAAAATGTGGTCATGGTATGTACCTTCTATGCCAAGTCTGCTATAGTCAAATATGGGGATTGCATGGTCTCTATGCTTTGATTGCTTTCTTTTTTTTTTTAATCTCACACCTCTCTTTGCATGTCGAGTGATAATATGGATGGGACACCAAGGTAAGGAAAAGCTTAACTCATCACAGTCTTACATTCATGTCAATATAAAACAACATATCGAAATTGAAAAGATTGTCCCTTTGAAAACACCAATAATGAGTGCCCCCTTTCATTAATTCACAACTTGGGTACATCGAATAATTTGCCTTTTAGTTGAAATTAATAGTAGTAATTACTAATCAATTGGTCAATGACTCATTATCTTATCCAACCAATTTCTAATTTAAAACACACAAAACAATTTGCAATAATATTTTGGTGGGGTAAACCTTAATAAACTTTGTTGGCGAAAAAATAGTGGAGCTTCACTTCAGATTCTAACATTAGCTACTCCTTTTTTTAATTAAATTAAATCAAGTACAAGCTCAAAGGGCTTGAACCTGGGCTATAGACGAGAGATTTTTAACCCCATTATGTGACAAATTCAAATTTTAAATTCGTAATTAGCCGCTTATCAGTGCAGATGTCCCAACTTAATTTATGCACCTTCACCTGATAATTGCAATTAGACGTGTCAATAAGTGGATCCGGTTGACACTTCAATAACCTAAATTAAGATTCAATTAGTGAAAGCCCAAATCATTCATTTAAAATAAATTTATTATTAAATATTAAATGAATGTTTTTGAAAATACTTTAAAATGAAAATTAATATAATAATATTTCAGCTCAAGCCAAATTGAACTCTAAATATCATGTCCAGGCTCGGTCCATGAACAGATGTACATGCAATCATCCAACAATGGGCCCCAAATGGGGCGTATCTCTTTGATTTGAGCATGGTTGGATCAATAATATGAACTTTCCCTCCCTCTTCCGATCTCTCTTTAATTAACCATGCAATAAAACTGCAAGAATCTCACAGGTAAGAATGTAGATATATTTTAGACTCTCAAAGCATTTCTTTCTACTATCTTCTTTAAAACCTCAAGAACATGTGTGTATCATCTCTAAATTAAGAATATATACATATATATATATTCTTATATTGATTTAGGTGCACACATGCATTTCACCTTACTTGGAGAGTAAATAACCCTATTATTTACTACACATGCTTGGTTCCAATTGGTTGATCAATTAATTTCTTCAAAATCGATCTTGGGTTGGCTTAACCAATTCTAGATACTTACCATTACCATGCATAAATCATTATTGTTTGACATTCTTAAAGATGTAATTTATAGTTGCATGGCGCTATCAGATATTAATTCACATACCTAACTCTTTTCAACGTACCAGTCCGTCGCAGAATGCAGATACGTTGCTCTGGCCTTGTCATAATCATGGTTGAAATACCGACGTTTTCCATGTTTTTATAGCGACCCTGCAGGCTGCATGTCTCTTCTTCGGTCGTTAAGTCTCACCACCCACTTTGTCTTGATATCATCTGCCATCTCGCTCACGTTCTGAACATCTCTAGAGAAAACAGCCATGGGATTTCAGCCTCGGCCCTTTGGGTTAGGTGTGAAAAAGTTTTATTTCACAACCAAGGATTACATTTATTTGCGAGATTAGACAAAGAGGGATTCAAATCAAATTCTTCAAGTAACAATATATATACTTACTAATTAGATTTGTATAAGCAAACGTTTTGTAGGATTATAGTTGTTTTTGTAATAAAATTAATTACATGTACAATATTAATTACAATTATTTCGACTTAACTCCAATGATAAGTTTGGGTATGAGATTTTGGATGAAGATTTTATGTTTACACCGTATTTATCTTATACAAAATAAAAAATGATATAACATATGTATTATATATACAATAATAATTATACAAGAGAATTAATCATGAATATACCATTGATGTTAGATAACTTAATCTTTTGTACTTCATCGTTAATTATTGTGTCGATTGGGTAGTGGGCACGGCTCTTAAGTATTTAAACCACATAAATAAGCATTACTTTGCATCTCACATAATAGATATAATTAATTACTCCAAATGGATTTTCAATAACTTTTCTTCAAACAATAATATTTTTTTGGGTGTACATCTTGCGTTTGCATATTTTTCCCGTGAATGTATAAATGATTGTTCATGGTATACATGTGAATTTAAAACTGAAAAAAAGAAAAAAAGGCAATGAAGTTATTAAAAAGGAGGGCTGCTACTGCGGTTACTGGTTAGGGAAATTGATTTTTGTGTCCATTGTTTTCAATCAAAAGCTATACATGTATGTATGTTTCTTTAAAATTATATTCATGAAATTTAAGAGGGAGTGAACATAAGAAAAGAAACCTGTTATATAGACTTGCCTTCAAAACTTAGAGCAATATTATATTTCAAGTCTCGACCACAGCTTGCACAAGTTCTCTTTCTTCTATTTCATAATTATTAGATAGATGTTGAAACACTTTATACATCTCAAATCAAGAGATACATACACTCATATGTATAATATATGCTTATTTAAGCTAATAGTAAGTTGGTCTCACCAATTCTATCTTAACTTACATTTTTTTTCTTTCTATAATCTCCTTTTATTTAAATTATTGACAAATTCTACTAAACAAATTACAATGGTTCAATAAATTTTTAAATTTATGGCTCAGTGGTAAATATGTGTATGTCTCAATACTTAATAACGTAATACAAATTTCCCTTCTCCCAATTTTAAAAAAAAAAAAACCCTACCCTTCAGTCTCCTTATCCATATCTCTAAGGACTATGATGGCCGTGTAACCAATGTAAATCCTTCTATTTTACTGCCATTTAAATGCACATAATGTTCGCAATAAAGGCTGATAATGGTATATTAAAGAATTGGCTTAGCTAATTAAGTGGTAATAAATATTTTCAAAGCATGTGATGTGAGCAGTAATTTGATTTTAAGCTATATAAAAAATGGGGCATCTCTTATCCATAAACTTTCTCTAAAAATCTAAAGAGTTGTAATATTATTACTATTAGGCGTTCCCTATGGACAATAAGTTGCACTCTCATCCGATTTCATAAAAGTAAAATCCCTCTCCATGTTACTAGTTCAGCTAACTTAATAATTTGTAGAAATAATGAAAGGAAATAACAAGACGTAACAAGTCAAAGCACACCTTGGAAAAGGTCAAAATAAAGGAATGAAACTAAGGGTGGATTCATAGAAAATAAATAAACCTCTAAGATTATATTCAATTTCAATACACAAACCATTAGATTACATTAGGCAGCAACTATTAATAATTAATTTCTTTTCCTCGTCAAACAAAACAGGCAGCTTTCTAACAAAATTTCTTCCACTTGCTCCCTCACCCCACCCCCAGTCAAAAAACAAAATCTATCAAAAACTCAAATCTCGTTTTCATTTTCCCCCGTTCCCATCAACAAGAAAACTGCTAGACAGACAAATTAATAAATTCAAGAAAGGAAAATAAATTTTAAAAAAAAAAAGAGAAAAAGAAAATTCCTCCAAGCCAAGAATATTTACATAATGGAAAAGAAAAAAGGGGGTCAAATCTTTTGACTGGTCACATCCAATGATTTTCAGGAAGCAGCCTGGTGGGCTTGGGGCTGGGTCTGGGGTACATGTGTTTGTAGAGGAGAAAAAGGGTATCCTCTAGTCTTAGTCAGCGGTAAGACACCAGTCTTGGCATCGGTGTTGCTGCCAGCGGCGGCGGCGACGTTGGTGGTGTTGGCAGCAGCAGCGGTGGAATTAGCGGTGGTGGAAGTGGTAGCGACACGCTCACATGAAGGACACATAGT